CGCACGCCGGCCGCCACGACCGCGCCATGGGCGTGTACGAGGAGGTGCTGCGCGAGGTCGACGAGGACGGCACCTCGGAGCTGTTCGAGCGCTGGGCGGGCAAGCAGCTCCAGATGCTGCGCTTTGCATATGCGCGCAACGGTGGCTTTGCCAACAGCAGCTCGACGTACCGCGACCTGTTTGCCTCGCTCGCCACGCGCGGGCTCGACTGCCACCACGAGGCGTGGGAGCTGCATGCGGGCGACGAGCATGCACAGCCGCACACGGGCGGCTACGTTGCGCCCGACAACTGGTTCCTGCTGTCCACCACCGCCGTCGCACAGCCTGGACACGCCGATGCGCACGCACACGTGCACGCGCACAAGGACAAGCCCAGCATGCGCCGCGGCCGCCACTCGCTCACCGACATTGTGCTGCGCCGCTCGCGCGGCTGCCGCGTCTCCGCCGCCGACAAGATGCACGGCGCTCGCACGTCTCTGCCTGCACAGGCTGCCTAACGGCGCCAAGACACTTTCTTTTTCAGACTAGATCGAGTTGCTTTCTGTTTCCTAGACCGGTGGAATGTACATTTTTTCTTAGGCAACTTTGAAACAGTATGAACAGGCTGTTTTGATAGCTGCTGCATTACAAGGCCGACACTGTGCATGTTCCAGGATCGCTTGAAGTGCATCTCGGTCGATAAGGGCTGTATGATGCGCATTGAGTCGATAGGATGGATGGCAAAGGCGCTTTCGGCGTCTGTTGGACATGGAGGCCATGCGGCGGTGCGGCGGGGCAGAGACAGATGAGTGGTTAAGGATGTTGAGAGCGTGCGAGGGCTTTGTCCAGCTGATTGCGGTACGCCAGAGGCTGGAGGGAGGTGGTACAGGCGAGGGGCATTCTTCTGGTTCAGCCAGCTGCCTGTACGCTTGGCAACGCCTAAGTATCCAGGTGCGCTGCGTTTGCGCTCGACGTTGAAGCTATTGGAAGCAGGAGGTAACCCAGCCAAGGTTCTCCTGCGTGTCATTGGTGGTGTTCCTGTCTGCACGATCGACGTAGATGCGATCCGCATGAATGGGACGTCGTTGTCTTCTTGACCTCGTTGCGCTTCACTATCACCACGGTAGCCGAGTTGACCTGCCTTCGCAGCATGTTGAGGGTCGATTCCCCGGGCAGAGCACCATCAGCGTTTGGAATGATCGGCCAGGGCTCAGGAGTCTGCTCGGGCCGGGCAAAGCGTTCGTCATTGTTGATATTGCAAGTGATTGATATTGATAACAAGAGGTTTCAGCAAGGGTGATGATGAGTGTAACCACGCATTCTGGCTCGTTGGCTCCTATCTCACGGCCACACAGTTCAACGACAGTCCTGTAGTATGCCTCGATCTTTGCAGACTGGCTGGTCAAAAGCGTCGGATAAAATTGGTGGCGCTGAAACGGCGTCTCTCCAGGCCTGATTGTCTAAGCAAGCAGGAGTCCAGCGGGAGCAAAGTGACTAGTTCGCTGACTTGACACGCCGAGCTCTTTCATACGACCTTCGAGCTTTCATGCATGCGATTCAGCCCCTCTTACGCTGCTGCCAATGGACGAGCAAAGATGGTAGTTAATCTTGTTGATGCGCAAAATCAAGTCAGTTCGACGAGGTACTGAGTTTCGTAACAAGTGGTGCAGTGGCAAGGCAAGGGTAGGTACAGAGCAAGGAAGCGGGCCTTTTGAACCTGCCACGTCGACGTGTCGCGGCTATGACCAGGATCAGCGGTAACATCGGTGCGTTTTAGGCAGTCGTTCGTCCGAAAGAGACGAACCAGCTCGATCTAGTCTGAAGAACAGACGAATGGATGTAGATCATCACGGCTCTAGGATGTAGGCAGACCGATACAGAACGGGAAAGGACAGTACGAAAGGATGTGTGCGGGACGGGTCGGATGCTTTGGCAGAGAGAGTGAGCGTCTTCGCGCCTCTGGGAGCTCTTGGCTTCCTGCAATGCAAAGAGCGGGGAGTTTGATCAGTTGCCGCCGTTGCGAGCGTGCGATCTGTGGTGGCGACGACGCAAACCGAGCGACTGTTTGATCTCCTGTGCAATGCTTCCGCCCTCTGCATCGGCATGTTCCATCTGTCCTCCTGCAACGGTGACCGAGTTTCCACTACCGCTAACGACAGGTGCATTAGCTTGGCACTCGAACCCTGCACCTGCGTCTGCATCTGCACGTGCATCCTCCTCCGCATGGGCGAGGAGACGCTTTACGAAGCCCGGTTCGATGCCTTGAAGGGGTTTCTCGAACATGTCGAATGCCTTTGCCAGCATCCCCACCGGATCCATTTGATCCATACCTCCTCCGCTCGCAAGCAGGCGTTTCTCGGGTGGGAACTTGAACCCCATACCTGCACTTGCACCGCCGGGATGAGTCTCCGAGTTAAAGCGGAAAGCGTCCTTGACGGTTTGCGCCATTTCCACCGCTTCGTTGAGCAGCGGTTGACGCTTGGACAGTCCGAAAAACTTTTCCACCTGCTCCAGGGTTTGATCCACTCTGCCACCGGTGGCATCTGCTTGGGACGACTGCGCCCCACCCGTAGTGACGGAGTTGCCAGAGCCGCTAACAACAGGAGCGTTGGTTTGGAACGTGTGTGTGGTGCCCCCGAATGCATCGGCTGATGCGGCTTGATGGCCGGATTCAAATAGGAGACGTTTGGAAACATCGTTGAAGACAGGGAAACAGCTGGCGGTGCAGGCCAGAGAAAGAGCGACGAGGATGGGAAGCTTCATCTTGTTCAAACAGAGAGGGATAGATGGATGATAGAAGCAAGGACGTCGAGAGGTCGGAGGTTATTATATCCGCTCTAAGCTCGGTGAGGTGCACAGAGCTGCGACTGCTACACGCGTTTGGAAGATTGGGCTGCGCAGATACTTGGTCGGTTGCCCAACTATGCAGATACGATGCAGCGATGAAGCCGAGCGATCTGACCGCTTGATGCCACGACCCGCCCTCAAAGCGAGGTTTGGAGTCGCTTCGTACTGCGAAGCCGCCGAGACAGTGCGACCCTATTCTTTATGTGCTGGCCTGGGAACATCGCCACCATCTATTGCGCCGATATTGGATGCACGCTGATATCATGACTACTACGCGCAAGCGACGTTCCGCGTGCTTCTACTCATCTGCCAAGGCACAAACGAGGCTCATGTTCGCTTTTTCACATGGCCAATGTCAAACTAAAACCTCAAGCTCATATGTTCGAGAAGCGGTCGTACTCGCGCCGATGAATGAGCGACCTCGTATCTTTGATAGCAAGGAGTAGCGATCAACTCGCTGATGCTCATTTTCAAGCGGGTTCGACGGTCGGATGAAGCAATGCGCGGAAGCCGTTCAAATATGCGCACCCTTGTCGATCCGGGTCGTTTCTGAGCGAGCCGGGCACTCTATGTATCAATCAAAGCGCATCTGCCGTGGGCGGGACGTGCGAACGCGCTCATATCAGACTCTTGCGCTGTTGAGTTGGGTCGACGTGACGATTGCAACGGTCAACAATGCACGATGAAGCAGTGGACACCGAGCGCGCACGTCTTTCATGTTGCCCAATTGAGCGTGCACGGTGACCGTCTTCTTCACTGCGCAGAAATTGACCTTCGATCGCGGCGAACAAGTATATGCCCGAGGCACGATCGTGACGTCTGCAACGCGGTCCGAGCTGCGTAAATCCGCCGACGACTTGATCTGCTCTACATTAAACGGTGTCACTTGCTTCTTGCACTCGGACGACCATCATGAATCTCGTCTCTGCATTCGTCTTTCTGCTCTTGGCATGGCTGGGGCAGTCGGTCGTAGTGCGACGACAGTGGGACGTGCCGCTGGTGGTGGTGGGCAACTACCAGTCCGGTAGCAACCTCCAAGCTGGTAACGACAACGTACAAACCGTCGCAAATTCGGTCAATGTGCATGGCAACAACAATGCTGTCAGTTCCAACTCGGTCGGCACCACCGCAGCTACCAGCATCATCCAGCCAGCAGCTCAAGAAGATAGCGACGATGACGGCTTGGAGGCGGAAGTCGAGGCGACGATTCGACACCTGCAAGCCGCACTTGCACGATCAAGGTCCGGACACTACAATCTCCACACTCATCGACAATAATGGTTACATTTGCGTTAGACGACTTTGCTTCTGAACACATGGGCTGCGAGTGCCACCAGGCTAGCCACGCCCATACTTGCGCCGGTAAAGACGATGAGTGCGTTGAAGCCATTGATCCCGTACTCGCCCGCATGCGGGTCTTTCGTAACGACACTGGGTCTGTACAGTGCCGATCCAACCAGGGGACCGGTGACAGCCGCTACGCCACGGATGAACATCCAGGTCAAAAACTGCAGCGCATTGTCCGACCGCGTCACCCCCGCCAGATCCCTCGCGATGGGCGTGAGGAAACATCCAAAACCCCCACCCTACGCTCTCAATATGTCAGCGTTGATCGATCCTGGATAGCTCCCGGGGAAGGATGTGACTTACTGCAGCTCCAAATACAATGGCAAAGACGAGCAAGATCGGTAGGGTCGCCGCAAAGCCCAGCAGAAGTAAGGCGGCGAGTGCACACAGGCCCGATGAAACCGCCATGCCGAGCGTGAAGGAAAGCTTGTCGATCGAAGGCCCCGTGATGGTATAGCCGATGATGGCCGATGCGTTGAATGCGGCCAGGATGCCTGTGGAGACGGTCGAGCTGAATCCAAGCGCGGTGGCGTACGTCGCAATGTACAGCGATACAATGTACCATCCAAACGCCTGCAATGCCACCACTCCCAACTGTCCAACACCCAAAAAAAGATCAGTCTCGTGTCCCCCACTTTTTGCGGACGAGTGGCACTTACGTAGATCAGCGAGAGCGGGTGGGTGAGCCACGACAGGTCGCCAGGAAGCAAAGCCTTTGCCAACTCGAGCTTTGTGATCGGAAGCACATCCGGTGTCTCGAGTGGCAGTCTGGGGTTGACGAACCACAGCGCCGTACCCGTGAGTACAAGCTGGGCGAGTGCCCACACCCTCATGGTCCAGGCAAAGCCAATCGAGGTGAGCAGCGCGTTGAGGATGAGCGGAAACACGACGCCTCCAAAGCCAGACCCCATAAAGATGACGCCCGTGGCGAGGCCGCGTCTGGTATCGAACCACTGGCCGAGGTACAGCACGACGGGGAGCAGCAGCACGCCGCTCGTAACCCCGAACAGCACGCCCTGAAACACGATGAGCATCGCAATCGATCTCGCGAAGGATGCAACGAGAATGCACGCCGAGCTGAGGACCACGCTGACGAGGACCAGCCTGCGGCGCAGGTGCGGAAAGGTGGTGACGAAGCCGCGCAGGATGAGCGGGATAAAGTGCTGGCATCCGATGACCAGCGTGCCTACCGCCGAAATGCCAGTCACGCTCGTTCCGTACAAGGGCGAGTCGGAATTGTGCTCGTGGTAGTCTTGGAAGCTGCCGTACGAATACGCCACGCCCCACACCATGGACCAGATGACGAATCCACACGCCAGGAAGCGCCACGCCGCCGCGCCTTGGTCGACAGCCGCAAGCTCGGCGGGCTTGGCCTGGGACGGTGGGTAGGTCGCGAGGACGGGGGGAGATGGAGGCCGCGAATTTTCGGCATCGCTGGTAGCCTTGCTGTCGTCGAAATGGTGCTTGAGCTGCTCCTCCTCCTCATCGATGGGTTGAGTATAGTCTTGCTGCGAAAGACTGCCGAGGCGCGAACGGAAGAGATGCGCTTCCGAGTCGTCCGTGTACGAGGCTCGCGACGGCCGCCGCTGGACCGTGGTCGCAGCCAGCCCGGTCTCGGCGGCCGTAGTCCTGCCGGCGGTCGTTGTTGTCGCGGTCGACATGGTGCACAGCCGGAACGAGTGGTGGAGTCAGAGCACGGTCGGCGACGGTGCAAGTTTTGTATAACTCAAACCCTTGTGCAGGGTCCATTCGGCGAATGGCACGGCGAACAGAAAGGAGCCTTGAAAAACTTCCAACCTTTTGGACCGAGTCCGGCGGTGAATTCGCCGAAGACACAACTTTACCGAGGAGTTGGCAGTCTCCCACCCCACATACAAAGATTAGCTCGCCGGAGTGCAGCCGTAAGATCTGTCGGAGCGTGACCAACATCGGGCGGCTGGATTGTGGATCGATACGATCCGACCAGGTTGGTGGGAGCCGAAGGTCGGCAGCCAAAGTGCGGAGATGAGGTTTCGTAGCGGCAGCCAAATTTATCCGCCGGATCACAAGGCTACCCCACACGGCGGCGGAACAACTTCGATCCACGGCGAAGCAACCTTGAAGCTCGCACCTGGCATCAAGGTTGCTTCGCCAGCTCCATCGGTGCGACCAACTATAAACACGACCATCCCAAGATGTCGTTCGTCCGGTCTCTTCGAGCAGTACCTCTGCGAGCACTACGCACCACGCCGCCTTTGCTGCTATCTCGAAGCATGACTAGCTATCAGCACACCATCCTGCACCGCACGCATCCTTCGGTAGCGCAGCTGGTGACCGAGCTACACGCGCAGTCGGAGCAGCAGGATGCGCAGGGCACGGGCATCTCTTCGCTCAACTCGCAGGAGGTGCAGAAGCGCGACTTTAGCAGCTTCAGCCACAAGATGATCGCGCTCGAGCAGGACAAGGCGGAGCTGATCTATGCGGTGCTGCGCAACAAGAAGGCGACGCGCATCTTTGAGGCCGGCACCTCGTACGGCGTGTCGACGATCTATCTGATGATCGCCTCGCAAGCCGCAGCTGCCGCCGCTTCGGCCGAAAAGCCGATGGTGTGGGGCACGGAGAAGGAGGATCACAAGGCGGATGCTGCGGTGGCCAATGTCGCTACGGCGCTAAAGCTGCCTAAGGGCACGAGTGATATCCCCGGCTTCACAATGTTGCGAGGCGACATCCTGGAGCAGACTCGAAGGTCCAACATCGAGAAAAACAGCCTAGACGCTGTGCTGTTTGACATCTGGGCCGAACGTAAGTAGCACGCTGCCGAACCGGAACCCGACGTAGACTGGCTGACGCTTTTGCTGTGTGGACAGTGGCGCTGCCGACGTTCAAGCTGCTCGAACCTTCGCTCAAGGCGGACGCGGTGCTGTTCATCGACAACTGGCTCACCGGCGTCGAGATCGGCACGTATACGGCGTTCAAAGGGTATCTCGAGGCGCAAGGCTGGTACGTGGCTGCGATGCCCTTCAAGAATGGACTCGGCATGGCCGCTCGGGTCTAGCTTTTCGGCGGAGAGAGGGTCTGAGCTGGATGAAATTGGACCCTGCGCATTTTAGCCGCGTGAAATCCGGCTTGGCCCGTCGGTAGCTGAGAGTGTGGACCGGCCGAGGTGGGGGCCGAGAGCCGAGATGGCCTTGTTGACATTGTTGCCGTCGAGCCACCACTGTCGCCATCCTGTCTCCTCTTCATTGGGTCGCTATCTCGTCCCTGACATCGACTGGAGGAGATGTCGAACCAAGCGTCCAAGCAAGATGTTGGGCCCGGCTCGGCAGCCTGGCAAGAGCTGCACAGCACGCTCCACGCGGTCGGCGACTCGATCCGACGCCAAGTGGTGGGCGAATCGTACGTCGATCGCAGCCTCTCCAATGCGAACGACTTTACGATGCCCATGCAGAAGCTGGCGACCGAGTATGCGTGGGGAGGCATCTGGTCTCGTCCCGGGCTGGCGCGTCGCGACCGCAGCATCCTCAACATTGGCATGCTTGCGGCGCTGGGCAAGTGGACCGAGCTGGCTACGCACGTGCGCGGTGCGCTCAACAACGGCGTCAGCGAAACCGAAGTGCAAGAGTGCCTGCTGCAGGTGGCGACGTACGTGGGCATGCCCGCCGGCATGGAGGCCTTTCGTGCTGCCGACAAGGCGGTGCAGGAGTGGAAGGCGGCGCAAGGCACGGCTGCGGCAACGACGAGCAAGACCAGCTAGGTCAGTCCATAGATGCGCCTTGACTCGGGCCTCATCTCGATGCTCAGTTTTCTGCGTCTGTCATTCTGGTTCTGGTTATGTATGCGCGAGATGCGGCGAGGGAGGATGACCTTCTCGGTGGTGGCAGCGGAATTGCGATGCGGATGAGCCGATCGCGCAGCTTCAGTGTGCAATAAATCGGGCGCGATGACGCGCCGACCTTAATCTTGCCATCCAGTGGGCCAAGTCATCTGCGGCTGTTCCGATGCAGATCCTGCCAATCCAACGCTCTACGCTGCAGCGCGGGATTCAAGGGCGTTTCGCTTTGGCAAGGCTCACTCAGCATCGAGCGGCATCGTTCCGAAGCGTGGGAATCATCGACGGAGACGCTCCGAGCTGGTTGGAAGTCACTCACTCACTCGGGCATGAATGGCAGGCTCTGCTCGCATTGCTCGCATGGCAGCTGTCGGTTTCAGATGATTGTGCGAATTCCATCCCTGAGCAGCCTCGCTTGCAAAGCCTCGAGGGCTCGAACAGTCGCGTCGTGCGCTCAACAAAGGGCATCCGAATCGAAAAGCTTGGCGGTCTCTTTGCAGCTGTCACACTCGGAGATGTGCAGCTGCTTCACTGCCGAGCCGAGTCCAGTCCTCGCTGGCCGCCGCGCCCATCCGCACCGCAGCACATCGGACGCCTTCCGAGTTCTGCCAGCAAGTCTGCCCGAACGGCGCTTCAGTTCAGTCACACTGGGGCGCGCAATCACTGCGCAGCGCTCCTCCCTTCCTGCTTTGAGCGCATACTGTCGGCTTGAGCACACTCTGGCCGGGCTTGCCGAACGCGCGGGTCTTTGACGAGACGATGGCGATGGCCCTCTCCATCCGCTCGAAATGGCGACCACTCCCTTGCCCCCATCCTCCTCACCACCATCCGCTCCGCCGCCGCCGCCTCCTCCTCCTCCTCCT